ATGACTATGACTATGGCTGTGATTCATAGTTGAGTGAGGTTAGGTTGATGACTATGACCATGACTATGGCTGTGATTCATTGTTCAGTGAGGTTAGGTTGCCTATTTTTTTTCATTTTTTTAATGATAAAAATTATTTAAATTTTCAATATTAAATAATTTTTTTCATGAAAAAAATTCATTTCTGGTCTGTTTCGGGTTGTTTGTTTTGTTTTTTTTTCTTGGCCAAAAAAATTGTACCAAAATCAAACAAAACGAAATAAAACAAAAATGATGATGACTTGTCAAGGACTACCGGAAAAATATTTTTTCTGAAAAGAAAATATTTTCTAATTTTAGTCAACATAATTTCGTTGTTGTCGTCGTTTTTTTTCGCACTCAACGACAGCAGGATATTTGATAACCTAAATATTTATTATTATTTGGTGATAATAAAAAGAAAGTCAAAAAAAACATTTGCTTGCGGGAATCTATTGTGAACTTATCATTGTAGGAAATATTATTATTATTATTGATATTGAAGGTCGATTCCTGATACAACAAAACGAATTGGAACAAACAAAAAAGAATTCCAAGAAAACTTGTAGGGCAAAAATAAGAATTCATATGGATAGTGTAGTTGGAATATTCAAAATGAAAACAAAACAAACATTCATTCATAGATTCGATTCAATTCGATTGGGAAAGATTGACACATTCCATTATAAGCTTATAATTCAAAGATATTCGGGCGTCAATTTGTTTTCTAAGAAAATAATTTTTCATTTGGATTTTTTTTCTCGTTTCTTTGTAAGTAACAATAGACAAAAAAACATTTGTTTTTTTGTTTTCCCATTGCTTCTTCTTTTGGATACCAGAAAATCATTCGATTGATTTATTCTTCTAGATTCAATTCTGGTTTTTTTTAATATTCTGATTCGATTCGGAAATAAAACATACTTGAATGAATATCCCACAAATATTGTTGATCCCAAAAAAAAAACGAACGAACGAACAAAGAAGAACAAATATATTGGACATCGCATCACATTGATTATAAATTTCATTAATCTTTATTTTGATTCGGTTCAATGGATCAACTGTGTTCAATGGTTCTGCGCGTATACATCAAACGAACAAACATTTATTCATTCATTCAGCTTGATTAACAAAATAAAAACAGTTGACCATCATCATTATCATTCGGTTGGTTGGTTGGTAAAATTTGAAATAGAAAAAAAAATATTGTTTAATCATCATCATCATCGTTGTTATTAATAATCAATAATTCTTTTGAACCCCGATCCAACCAATACAATCGATTGTGTCATTATTCGATAATAATAGTGTGGTTATTTTCATTTTTTTCAAATTCGTTCATCACTTTCAGACAATAATAATGGCTATGAAGGCTAATTGCCATTGGCACCCGAAAGAAAAACCGGAAGAGACTATTGTATCATTTTTTATCGGGAAAATTTTCCCCTGAAAACTAACTAAAAAAATCGATTTTCTTTGTTATCAAACAAACAAAAGGGGAATAAATTCCCAAAAAAGACATCCTTTTTATCATCATTCATAATAAATGATAAATGGATGTTTTTTTTATAGACAAAAGAAGAAGTTACTTTGTTTGTTATTGCTATTCATATATGTCATATCGTCATTTTATAAATGAATCAAAAAGTAATCAATATTAATGCTGTTTTTAAAAAAATTAACTTTTGTTCATTTCATATTGATTAGACTTGACATTTTATTTATTTATTTTTTGGGGTTTTTTTCGCGGAATTTTTACAGAAACAATAATTTTCAGAAAATTTCTTTTCCTCGGAAATTATTCTTTCCCATTTATACCCATCAAACAACAACAACATAAGTGCTGTGTTAAATAATCAAAAAAAAAAAACATTCAAATTATCCATTTGGAATCTTGCACCAAATATAAATGTGAAAATCATTATCATCATCATACGATGTGTGTGTTTGCGAAACAAACCAACACAGCACATTTTGTAATTGCATTTTAGGCATTTTTTATACCCGAAAAGAAAAAGATTTTTTCCTATATGTTTCAATAAAATCATTATCTGATGATGATCAAATGATTATTCAGTGTGTATGTTTGCCAAAGTATATGTTTGAAATATAAGAAACTATAATCATTCCTTTTTGGGTAAGTGTGTTTAGTGTTTTGAATTATCTTATATCGAAGATAATATCCAAAGGAAAAAAATTATCATTATCTTTTTGGTTTTTCCGGACCGTTTTTGTTTTTTCTTAGATAATGGAAAAAAGTGATGATGATGATCTCTTGATAATAAAAATTATTGCAAAAAAAAACAGCAGCAATAACAACCCGAATCAAACAAACATATACACAGATGGTGTGATTCATAAATGATAATTAAAAATGAATCCAAATGAAATCAAAAAAACTTTTGATTCAATCAATATGAGAGAGAGATCAATAAACTCCCACGCTCAACTTGCAAAAAATGAATATAGAAATTTGATGAACTTAAAAAAAAGCAAAAACAAAAAAAAATGATGATGGGAAAAAAACGTGTCCGGATCTAATAACCGGAATGGGTTTTTTCCATTTGTTTCTTCTTCTTTGTTACCGAAAAGAATTCTGTACAATTGGATTTTGGTAAAAAACAAAAAACGAAACCAGAAACAGGAATCGAAACGAAAAATTTCCATATAAATGAATGGAAAAGGAAATAAGATTGAATCAAACTTGAAAAAAACTAAAATCATAGAAAATCATAGACCTAGACTGGATTCAGATCCAACAAAAAAAGATGTATGATTGTTGAGATATGATGGTGGTGGTGGTTGTATGAAAAGAGATCAAGTAGATAACAAACAAACTTACAAAAAAAAGTGATTTTTTTACAACATGAAAAATACGATTGACCAAAAGAAAAGGAAAAGAATAATAATAAAAAGAAATGCACAAAAGTCATTGACATTTTACCAGAAGAAGAAGAAATCTCTCGATATTTTCAAGTAATTGTTGTTGTTGTTGTCGTTTTTTTTATTTGTTTACAACCATTATCCAATGAAAGTAATCACAAAAAAATCCTGAAATGAATATATCGTTTGGATTTTGGGTGAAGAAATCTTAAGAAAAATTAATCATTTTTTTGAAAGAAATCAGCATGTGAAAAAAATACATTAATATTTTTGTTGCTGTTTTTGGAAATTTTTTTTAAAAAAAGAAAAATCCACTTTCTTAATCACATTCGCTAAGTAGCGATACTTATCGAAATGATGGGATGGAATTAATCGATAAAATCGTTGCTTCTATTTTCTAATTCTTCCATCACTAACGAAAACTTAATGATTCGTTTCAGAAAAAAGGGGATTTTTTCGAAATTTAATTTGATTTTATTTAATGGCCATCCATAATCGCCACCAATTTTCTATTGGATCGTTGAAATTGACCATGATGATTATGATTTAAAAGAATTTACTATTAATATTCAATGGGGGAAGAAATGTTTTCGAAAATGTTATTTTCACCACCCACGCAACATTGTTGACGACATTGAATCACGAAGTGCATTGGCCTCATTTGTCATTTTCTTAGTTCTACCCATATCCATTCAAAAAAAAACAGTTCTGGTCATCTTTGCAAATGTTTATTCTTTCTGAAACATTTCTCATAAACAACAGAAATAAGACAAACTCATTTGAACATCATCATCATCATCGTTCACATAAATCTCAATTGAAAATTGTTCCCCAAAACAGAATTTTGTTTTCAATAAATCATATCTCCCACAGAAAACAAACCCAGAACAAAAAATTGGATAATGATAATAATTATCATCTAAGACAGACAGAAACAAAAAGATCAAATGAATTAATTGAATTACAATTTTTGTTTTGTTTCCCGGAAATATTCCTGGAATGATAATGGAATTTTCATCTATGGATCGAAACATGTATAAAAACTATAATCATCATTATTATTTATGATGATTAATTCAAACATTGGTGGTATTTAATTATTTCCAGCTAATTTTTGTTTGACTTGAACGATTTTTTTCCATCTTTGAAATATGTAATGGTGCGTTTTGCTTGTTTTTGTGTGTGTGGGGAATGTTTTTGATGATGAAAAAACCATAGTTTTCCGTCATTCAATTTGTGTGTGTGTGTGTGACCGCACATTTGTCATTAAACATTACCCAGAGATAAAAGAAAAAAAACAGAATTTCCAAATGATTTAAGTCAGCAGAAATTTTTTTTTCGTTGTTTTCTGGCAGTCTTAAAAAATTATTATTGTTTTATGGATGGATAGAATTATCAATGAAAATAAAGGATGTGATGAGCAATAAAAATTCAATTTCAACATACAAATCTTCTATGTTCATTTCATAATAATAAAACAAGAAAAAAATTCTGTGTATAATAAACAACACTCAACAACACTGGAACATTAAAATCATAATGTTTTTGTCTAAAACAAAACCAAAATTTCAATTTGATAAAAACATTAGAAGTAGTAAGTGTGTGTTCTTAATAGATTGCATCCAAGATGGAAAGAATTCCAATGGATTTCACACAGAGAAAATGATGATGATCCAGAAGCATAAAGTTTCAGCAAATTCAGCATTGATGTAATGATTTTTTTTTGATTTGAATTTTGTTGTGCATTTTGTTTAATCGATTATCGATTATTTTCTCTTGAATGATAATCGAAACGAAACAACAACAAAATTGATTGATCACATTGTGTGTGTGTATTATCAGATTGATTTGACCTAATTTACAGAATTTAAACATTTTCTAACTTTCTCTCTCTATGCATATTAAACTGATTAAAGTGATTGATGAATGAGGCAAAAAACAAAACAAAAATCATTGGAAAAACATCAAATTCAGTAATTTCATGAATGTTGTAAATTGATCTTTGTCATTTTTTGTTGTTTTTTGCTTTTTGCTGTCATCATCATCAAAGCATCTTTCTTTTTTTCTGGATAAAACTTGAATAATTATTACATAGAATTCGGGGGATAAGATTCTGGATTAGATTTTTTTACTTATTTATAGATGTTGTCTGTTGATGATGATGATGATATCGATTCTAGGTAAGAACAACAAAAAAAATACATCAAAATCGATTTTGATTCGGCCAAAAAAAAAGATTTATTTAATGAAATTGGAGAAGGAAAAATAACGTTTGGTTGTGAAATTGATTGGATTGATGGATGAGGAAATTTCATTGGAATTTTTTTCATTTCCAAAAAATATTCTTTGTTGAATTTTTTTTATCTGGTAACATTGGCGTGGGTGGATAGGCGGAAGAAAATTGAAAATTGGATATTTCATATTTGGTGAAAAAAACTGAAAATAAATTCGATGAATGAATTCCCAAAAAACCAAAAGTGATGAATTTTGCACAGCAACAATGTGTGTGTGTGTTTGTGAAATCGAAAAATCGATCGATTTTTTTTTCGTTTCACAGGAAGATCGATCAATAAATAACAATATTATTTTTTTCATTTTTGTTTCAGTTTTTGAAAAATTTTTTGAAAAAAGTTATTTTTTCTGAGTTTTGTAATTAATCGATTTGCTTTGATTTGTTGATCATTGATTTCTTCTTCTTCTGTCTGATTAATCGAACAACCGATGAAAATCAAACGAAAAGTTCTTTGAACCTAAACAAGAATTTCTGTTGTTTTTGTTTTTTGTTTTGTTTGTTTGTTTCCATTATCTAAATGTATGTCACACACACATTTATTGTCTATGTGGTGACAATCATGAGTGGTGATGGTCAGGATTGTATTACCAAATTTCATCGCAAATGTCAATACTCAACTTGTCTTGTCTTGAAATTCTTTTGGTGCAAGATTTGAAATTCTTGTGTGTGAGAAATTGAAATGTGTGGGGGAAAAAGAAAAATAACGGATTGAATTGATTTTGATTTTCGATTCGTTTCACTTCATTATTAATTTTGTTTGTTTGATTTTGATAATGTTTCTCAAGTGGATAAGATAAATGTTTTTTTTTTTGAAAAATGATGATTTCATTTTTCATTTGTCACGTTGTTTGATTTTGATTTTTTTTCCACACTTAACTTCCTTATTTTCTTCTTCCATTGTATTTTCACACATTTAATATTCATAGAATATAGGGACAGTGGTTGTTTTGGCTGGTCTGGATAACCGATCAATTGATCGGTCATTGTACTGATCGAATCAATCAAATTGATTAAAAAAATGTTTTTCGACTTGAGAAAATTACAATTTTTTTAATGTTTGTTTATCTTTTTTTTCCATGTCTCGAATGAATCTTTCATGTGTCATGTGATATAAATTGATTAAATTTTTTTTTTGATTGTTTCAATTTGACAAATTCCCCATTGAGTCATTATCTTGATTATTAAGATGATGATGATCATCATCTTGATAATAATTTCATATCATCCAAATGCAGAAGTGCATGGAGAATTTCAATTTCGTTTTTTTTTCATTTTCAATGAAAAATGACATCTCTTTTTCTTGAAATTACTTTTTTTTTGTTTTGTCTAATTTCTTATCAAAATCAAAATGAATCCTGAATTTCAAACTTGAAATCAAAACCAAAAAAAAGTGAAGAAGAATTCCATTACGTAACAATTCAAAGTAAAAAAAAATGATTAATTTCTTTTTTGAATTGAAATCAAATGACAGGAATGTTCAATTTTTGTTTTTATCAACACAGAATTACAAACTTTTGACCTTTTTTTGGTGACACCATAATCATCATGTTCTTTCAACTTGGCCAACATCAAGTTTATCAACAACAACAACATTATTATCGGATAAATCATTATTAATGTGTGTGGGTTATTACCATTATGATGATAGTCAGTTTGTCATACGAGGGTTTATATTATCATACAGTCTAAACTTTTATGAGTGCCAACAAAAAAAAACTTCCTTTGCCTGAATCTTTTCATCATATATTTGTTTTTGACATGTTTCGGGATTCGTTTTAACATATAGAGAATTGTATATATAGGAGAATAAATCAAATGTAATAAGTTTTGTATAGAAAGACACTTATGGAAAACATTGTGTGATAAGAATTGAATTGAATTCTTATAATAATTTTTTTCGACTTAATGGAATATCAATGATGATGATATCTATTTATTTTTTCATTGTTTGAATTGTCAAATGGTTGTACAATTGATTTTTTTTTCTTTCTCGTTGAATTCTGTAACAAATTATTATTATTATTCTATGCGAATCTTTTATATTCAAATAAAATAAATTATCATTTGTCAAAATGAAAAACTATTTTACATTTGATTTTTATTTGAAAAAAAATTCAAATTCAAACAAACAAACCATGTTAAAACAAACAAGAATTAGCAACAATAACAGCAACGGATATTTGTTTGTTTGTTTGGTTTGATGAGTTTGTTGAATTTCCGTTTGAAAAACAAACAAAAACTTTAAAAAACACTATCCATTTTCATTTCAAATATCGTTTCATTTTCATTTTTTGCCCCTGTATATAAATTATGTACAGGAAATTTCCCTCCTAAAACTTTCCTTCCATCCATACATTTTTTTCCCAATTGAAAATCAATAAAACCTTAATTGAATATTTATTTGACTAAAGAGTAAAAAAAATTCCCGGAAACAAAATTAATTTTTTTCTATTTTTTTTCCGAAAATAATTCCCAATTGAAATGAAACAGAATTTTAAGCTCGAATCGTATCCAAAGAATTGAACAAGAATATTTTGGCCATAAATTCTGGTATAAAGATTTAAATAATCTTTTATTGAATCAAAATTTATTAACAACAATACCAAATGCAACATTTATTCAATTTAAATCATTACAATATTTGTATGTATCGTTTTCTCGTTTCCAAAAAATCAATCAATCCTTTTTTCTACCTCCATTTTTTAAAATGATAATAATAATTTTCTTGTCATTCATCACAGAAATTTAGCATCAAATCGTTTGACAAAATTACATCCATTAAGTTTTTTTGGATTGAATAAACTTTTAAAACTGTAAGTATTTGTCAATCGGTCAATCATCTCAATGAAAAAAATCAGATGGATGACATTTTAATAACAAGGGTTTAATCGGAACAAAAACTTTTTTTCCATTTCTTTTGTCAACAACAAAAAGTGATCTTGGATCGAATAAAATTAAAACATTTCCATTGGATTCAATTTCGCCAAAAATTCTGCCAAATTTAAATGAAATGTATGCATATATGCAAAACATTCTTTCATTCTAATTTTCTTTGTTTTTTCCCAAAAAAAAAGAAACTTACGACAAAATTTTATCAAAGTGATACCCGCACAAGCGTTCATCGCAACATCAATAAACATTCCATTGTTTGAATCATCGAAACAACAACAAAATGATGATTTCAATTACAAAAGTCATATAATTAATTTTGATCTTTCATCAAATCCAATACAAAAATTTGCGTCAGATTCATTTGTTCATATGCCACGATTACATAAAATGTTTGTGACAGTTTTTTTTCAAATTTTTCTTTTTGCTATTTTTTTCTTTGTCTTTTTTTGATCTCTCTTTTTGTTTCACTTCAGTTATTTTTCCGAAATACGTTCACAAAGAAAATTTCCCAACCTAAATGGAACCAATTCTGTTGAACATATACGTTTAGATCGTATGCAAATCGAATCAATCGATCAAAGATTATGTGAAAATGTTGGTAAAACATTGAAAAGTTTGATTGTTAAATCAAATCGAATTGATCGATTACCACCGATGGATTTTTGTATTGAATTAAGATTACTGTATGTATCAATGTTTGAAATGTTTTAAAATTGATTGATTGAAAATAATTAATGTTTTTTTTCGTTTCATGATTCAAAGTGATGCAAGTTATAATGAAATCAAATCAATCGATTCAAAATCATTTTATAATCAACATAAATTGATTGATTTATCATTAAGTCATAATCAAATTGAAATGATTGCAATCGATTCATTTGATGGTTTAGTTAATCTTAAAGTATTAAATATGGAATCAAATCGTATTCAATGGATTGATTCGAATGCATTTCGACCATTACGATCATTACGTGATTTGTAAGAATTTTCTTTAATCAATTTTGAATTGAATTTATGGATTTTTTTCATCATTTAAAACAGAAATCTTGGTCATAATACATTTTCCGAATTACCAACAGCAGGTTTAATAAAAATTCTGGAACTCAAAGTACATGGAAATCAAAATTTACGTAACTTTCCACCAATAGAATCATTTCCATATGTACAAACATTGGCAATGTCATATGCATACCATTGTTGTTCATACCAAAATCGTATGCAAATAATAAATCCAGAAATTTCAAATAATAATGATGCAGCATTACCAAGTGTATCACCATCAACAATTAATTCAAATTCAGATGATTCATTTCAGGATTCAATTCTTTGGTTAGAAGATATAGATGATTCTAATGTTAATCTGACAATTACTGAATTGGCACAACAATTTTGGAAATTATATCATCAACAACAAGCTGCGCCAATACCAAACAATCCAAATGTTCCAAATAGTAATAATAATTTTGATATGTTTGTTAATGATTTTTATGCTGCTATTGAAACACCGGCTGCAGTTGTTTGGGGTGATATGATTGATAGTGATGAATTTGCTGGCAATGATAAATCATCATCAGTTTATTTTCAACAAAACGATCGTATAACAAACAAACCGATAAAATGTTTACCAAAACCAGATCCATTTATGCCATGTCAAGATTTATTTGATTGGTGGACATTACGTTTTGGTGTTTGGCTAGTATTTCCATTAGCATTAATCGGAAATGGAACTGTATTGATTGTATTGATATTTGGCAGACGTCGTAAACGACGTCGTTCATCATCATCATCTATATCAAAATTAGATGTACCACGGTTTTTGGTTTGTAACTTGGCTGCAGCTGATTTTTTTATGGGTATTTATTTAGGAATGTTAGCATTGGTTGATTTGGTTACACTTGGATATTTTCGTTCGTATGCAATACGATGGCAAAATTCATTTGTTTGTCAATTAACCGGATTTGCTGGTGTGTTTAGTGCTGAATTATCAGTGTATACATTGGCTGTTATAACATTGGAACGAAATTATGCTATAACACATGCTATGCATCTGAATAAACGATTATCATTTCGGGCTGCCATTATGGTTATGTCATTTGGTTGGTTTTTTGCCTTATCAATGGCATTATTACCATTGTTTGGTATAAGCGATTATCGTAAAGTAGCTGTTTGTCTTCCATTCGATATTGATAATTTATTATCATTTATTTATATAATAAGTTTAATTATATTCAATGGTATTGCATTTCTACTATTGATCGCATGTTATCTGCGAATGTATTGTGCCATACGTGGATCGCAAGCATGGAATTCAAACGACACCCGGATAGCAATGCGTATGGGACTATTAGTATTTACGGATTTTCTTTGTTGGGCACCAATTGCTTTTTTTACCATTACAACATTAGCCGGTTGGAATTTGATAACGATTGAAGAGGCAAAAATTTTCACCATATTCATTCTTCCATTAAATGCATGTGCAAATCCATTTCTTTATGCATTTTTTACTAAACAATTTAAAAAAGAATGTACAAATCTCTATAAACGCGTTGATGCATCCAAATTGTTTCGACGATCTCAGCATCGATCATGTTTTGGTCGAAGACAACAACAATCATTAGTAATAACTGATCCACTAAGTCCACAACAACAACAGCAACAGGAAATGAGCGATTGTAAAATTTGCATTCATAACCATCATCTTGATGAACGAATATCGGATTCACCGGATCGTCATCATAGTGATGATGTTAATGAAATTATAAATCCCATAAATCCAATGAAGAACGAAAATCATGATTGTCATTGTGATTGTCACAATAATCGGATAATAATTTCATCAAAATCAGATAATGATATTAATAAACGAAAAAATCGAATTCGATCAATTGAATCGGATCAAATTGATCGTCGTTCATCATCATCCTATACTAGCCAATTTATTCGACAATTTATACCACGATCATTGATGACAATGAATAAATCAGATAATTTACCAAATAATAATAATCGTCCATTGAAAAAATCATCAATTATCCAGGGGAAACAATTCAAAAGCAATTCAATTATTTATCAAAGTAATTATCGTAAAAATCATATTCATATGACATTGGAAAATGAATTAAAATCACCAATACCACCACCACCAACAACAACTATAAGTGATCATAATAATCAGAAGAAGAAACAAATGCCAACCAACAACAAAACAAATTCTTCCTCATCATCATCTTCATCTTCTTCGAACAAACATGATGATAATAATAAGCAAAGTGATGAAGATATTCATAATGAAAATGATCATCGACAAAATAATAATGCAATCATTATGATTGTCAATGAACAAAATACAAACGACAATAATAATGTTGAATATCAATTATCCAAATGTAATCGACATCATTATGTTAAACATCATCATCATCATCCAAATTTAACAACAACAAATGCAATGACAACAGGAATATTAATGTTGAAAAATAAATTTATTCGTCATAATCCAAAAAACTATGTTCGTAAGGTAAATCATTTGTTTTTTCTTATGTAATTTCACTGTTTTTGTTTTTTTTTCAAAGATGTCAACAGATTCACAATATGAATTTTCATATTATAGTAATCGTAAAGATTCAACATCAACAACAAATGGTCGTTTATCATTTAGTAGTGGTGCGGATAATAATCCAACAACAACATCATCATCATTTTTTAGTAGTAGCGGTTTTTGTTCATCAAATAATCGTCATCGAAATGTTAATCCAACAACCGAAACAACAACAACAACAACAATAGCCGGTGATTTATTATTGAATCAAGATCAATTCAATAGAATTATTCAACAAAGTTCAATATTTACTGAACAAATGAAAAAATGTTTATTGGAAAATACTACTGATCATGATGATGATGATGACGATGAACTGGTTAATCAACTACTAAACCATGCTGGTAGTCATGAACAAAGATTCATTTTATTATCATTTTATGAACAAGAATTTCATTATAAATATAATAATAAAAAATCTTGTTTACCAACCAATGATGATGATGATGGTATTGATGATAAACAAATATCGGATCAATATATTTTATATTTATTACAACAAATCGATTCAACAACAACAATCAATCAATATAATCGATTAAAAGTTTTATTGATATTTCGAAAACAATCAGGTTCGATGAAAGAAGAAAATGATTATTTTAGAAAAAAATTTGATACAATTACGAATATAGATTGTATTGAACATAAATTAATTGATAAATTTATGGAAAATTTATCAGCAAATAAATCTTTTAGAAATTTTCAAGATGATTATTTTGAAAATCTAGCCATTCATTCAATGGTATTTGAATGTCGTATTCGATTAGCCTGTGGTGGTGGTGGTGGTGGAAGAGAATTGGATGAAATAAATGAAGAAACCAATTCACAAACTAATGGCAATGGTAGCAATAATCGTTTACAGGAAGAATCATTGAATAATATTAATATTAAAAAATCACAAACATCATTAATGTCAAGCAGTCATGAACGAATAATGAATTTTTTACAAATATTACTTCCAAAATCCAGCGGTAACAACAACAACAACCAAAAACAGAAAAATGATGATAAGAAAAATTCATCATTTTATCGAAAACCAAATTCATTGGTCAAAAAGCCACATTCATTGGCAACAAAATCATCTGGTCACCATCATCATCATCATCATTGTCATCGTCGTTCATCAAGTGCATTTGCATTGAATGAACCAAAATTATTATTAAGTGAACAATTTCATCATCATCATCATCAACATAATCAACAACAACCTATATCGGAAATGAAAAATTTTTTCGAAACAAAAAGAAAAAGCTATACAACAAGTCAATTACAGGTTATTGAATCATTATTAACAAGTCCAACAAATTCACAAAAATCCGATTCAATCATACAGGAAATTCGTAGCCGATCAGCAATATCTGATGTTATTATTCGTATTAATCATAGTCCAAACAGTAATATTGTTGATAATCAAAATGATTTGGATGATTCTTATGATAAAATATCAACATTACAAAAACCAAAACAAACAACATTAAGTGATCGTGAAATATCATACAATAGTCAATATAATAATGATGATGATAATAATTTTAATGAAAATCACAATAATAAACATCGATATCATTCATATGAATTTATAATGAACAACAATGATCCATGTTGATTTCTTCCGTTGGCAAATAAAGATTCAATCAAGTTTGATTGAACATTTTTTTTGGAACGTGATATGACCAGAAAGTGAATTATATTTTGACTAAATCCCTGTTCGGAATTCTCTTTGTTCTTGTATTCGGCATTTTTATTTATTGGATTTTTATGTTTTGGAAATTCTTTTCTCTCCGAATCTCAACAACATCATATTGATCAATGCTGTGATTGAAATTTTTCTTCTATAATTATATTCTTCTATATACCAAATTCTTTTTTTTGAACCCTTTAATTTCTTTCATACAGAGTGGTGATTCTGCTTTTCAGAATTTTTGATTAAAATATTCTTATATAATATGTTTTGGGGATTTTTTTTTGTTGGTATCCCCATTTATTTCATTGAAAAACCACCAATTTCTGCCAATTTTATTCTTTTTACAAATTTTAGATAGAATTTTTCCTTTTTAATTCTTTATTTATCAATCAAACATTATCATTTTGCATACGAATTATTTTCAATCTTGATTTTTGATATTTTTTTCTGCTGGACCTGCCAACACGATAAAACCAAACGAACGCATCAATCACATACCAGAAATATATCTTTTTGAATTCATTTCCCTCTCTCTCAAAAAAAAAAAAAAATCATTTTTGTGTTGCTGTTTTTTTTTATTGAATGAATTTTGATTATTATCTTTTATTAATAAGAAATTTTACCAAATAATAATGAAAAAACAAAAGTCATATACCAAAATGAATGAAATAAATCTTTTATTTAAATACAAAATGATGTTGTTGATGGGATGTAAACTAAAACTATTATTATGACAAAAAAAAAATTCAAGAAATCAAATTAAGCGATGGTTTATAATACAATTTTAATGGACCACTCTAATATAATGAAAAAAACGAACCAATGTTATTATTATTGAAATCAAATTAAATTGAAATTTACCTTGAATCGCCAACGAGTAACAAAAACAAATTTCAATGTATGATCTTTACCAAGTAACTCTTCATTATAAAGTATATCAATCTTAAATGAATGAAATTAAATATGAGATTTTTTTTTTGTTCAAAAAAATTTAAATGTACATCGACTACTTACATCTTTATGTTTATCGGTAGTTTTGAAAATTAATTTTGATATAAATTTTTTGAGATGATTAATTGTCAATTGTGATGAACAACGAATATATTTTGCTTTTATTTGCTTAAGTAATTCTTCTGAACTGGTTAATAATTCGATACCAATTTGTTCATCATCACGATGATAATTTTCACTTGTACATTGATGACTTAGATTGGCACCATCTTTAAGCATTTTAATTAGATTTGGATTCGATTTTGGATATGGCATAACACGTGAACGATAAAATTCTCTTTCACGTTCAATTTCATCTGACAAAAAGAATGGAAATGATTAATTAGAAAATTCCAAAAACTTGGATTATTATCATTTACTTTGTTGCAGATTTGGAACCAATTTATAAACAACGTCTTGTAATGTACGATCATAGCTAATATATTGTAATGGATGTGATTGATGTATGGTTATATTACATGTTGGACATGTATTATTTTCTTCCAAATGTTTAACTAGACAACTTTTACAGACTATATTTGAAAAAATAACCATATTAATCATTTTTTTTACAATCAAAAAATCAATCAATAATTACATGTATGTAAACATTCGGTGACTGTTGTTGCATCAATTAGATAACCTTTACATATTTTACAGGTAATATATGGATTTAATGATTTCAATTTAATACGACGTTCCATTATTTTCTATTTTTTAAAAATTGAAATAAATGAATGAAAAATGATGAAATTTTTCGTAAAGAATTTGGCTATTAACACAAAATCGGTATGAAAACAACGTGTGTGGATAATGGATGATGCTCATCCAAAATTAAATTCTTATTCCAACACACCAGTGCCATCTTTTGTTGTTGAATGTCACTATCAACAAAAAAAAACACGACAATGATAATAAGTCGCCATGGATATGATCATCATTCTGTGTTTAGAATAAAGTTTATATCATCAAATTATCGTTAATAAACAAAATAAAATAATCTACCCTATTGCTTTGATTCAAAAGAAATTAACAAAATGTTTACTTTAATAAATTATTGCATTAAAGATTTATGATTTTGATCAAAAAGTTTTAATAACCGAAACAACAACAAAAAATCCAAAATGTCGAATATTGGTAGAAAAAAACCAGATGAAAATTTTGAAAAACAACTTCATCGTACACTTTCACGGTATGGAAAAAAATCTAAACGACCAACAATTTTACGTCCATATTTGGCCGCTCAATCATCGGTAATTATCATTTTGAATTTTCAATTCAAACTTTAAAAAATCAATTTATTTAGACACAAACAAATGGAATCGCATATCAAAACGAAACCATAATTGCACAATCGTTTCGTCCACCGGACATTGAAATGGTAATATTGATAAGAATGAATTGAAATCAATCAATCGATAATCATTTCTAATTAGTCAAATTTGCAGAGAAACATCAGATTTGCTGATGATGATGATGATGATGATGATCAGGTTCATTATCAAAGTTCGAATGATCGATTCGATTCTTCGGTTTTACGATCAGCGCAAATGCAACAAAACAATAATGTTCGATGTAAAGAAGATTTTCTATTCAATATTGATGGCAATGAAGAAGAAGAAGAAACTAGGCAAAAATTATCGAATGATGATGATCAAAATTTTTTTCGACAATTTCTTAAAACTGAAATTTTCGATTTGAAACGTGAAGAAAGACCTGGGTTTATTTGGCAATGTCTTGGTCTAAAATTTGCAAATAATTTTCAAAAAAATCGTGCAAACGGTGAAATGTGGCCAGTATTTACCTATTGGCTTATTACAATGGAATTGTTTATAATGATTTTATTGTCAACCATAGGAATTTCTCCATATAGTTTAAGTGAAACAAAAGTATCGAAAGTAATTTGGCATCAAACAAATTCGTATCAGGTATTCGTATTTTAAATTTTGATCAATTATAAAAAAATGATGATTTTCGTTTCAGCCTGCAACCTATTATCAACATCCAAATATTTGGTTTGGTCCAAGTTATTCAACATTAATCACAGCTGGTGCAAAATTCACACCATGTATGCGAAAAGATAAAAATATTATGGAATCATTTGAATCAAGAAAATTAATGGAAAATCAATATGGTTGTTGTTTACGAAGTGATTTGAGTGGTTGTGTTCAAGCACCAATATCACAATGTTCAAATCGAACATCATATTGGATTAAATGGCAAAATCGATCCGGACCAGTTTGTGGAAATGATCCACGTTATTGTTTGGATAATAAATCCATTGAAAAGACTTTTGAAAAAAATATAACCGAATGGCCTTTATGTAATCAATATGATTATCAAGCAATTTCTAAATCAGAAGATTTATATATGAAATGTAATGTACAAGGTAAGTGAATTCATATTCAATCAATATTGGTTAATTAATTGTTTTTTTTTAAAAAAAAAGCTCGACCTTGTTGTATTGGAATCTATGGTAAATGTATACTTGCATCAAAAGAATATTGTCAATTTATCGAAGGTTATTATCATCCGGAAGCTAGTCTTTGTTCACAAATAAATTGTATGGAAGATGTATGTGGTGGTTCATTTATGTGGCCTCATCAATATTATCGATTAATTCTGTCCATATTTATTCATGCTGGTTGGATACAATTGTTAGTGAATATAATCATACAATATATATTCATGAGACGATTGGAACAATTATTGGGCATATGGCGAACATTTCTGATCTATTTCGTATCCGGTATTGGTGGCAATTTAGCTAGTGCAATATTTTTGCCATTAACACCTGAAGTTGGTCCTAATTCAGCATTATTCGGTCTTATTGCTTTTCTATTCATTGAAAGCTATAAACAACGAAAACAATATGGAATAATTGTTTTTGTGAAAATTTCAGCTGCATTATTTTTCCTATTTATCCCAGGATTAATTTTACCATTTGTTGATATTTATACATTGATATTTGGTTTTCTATATGGTTTTCTAATGATCAATATTTTAGATCCAAGGAAAATCAATTGTAAACAATTACGAATTGCTGCAGCTATTCTATTGTCAATATTGACATTGATATTAATTTTATTATTCATTTTTGCAACCGAAATCATCGAACAATATCGTTATTATACAAATATTTTTAATTGTATACCATTTTTATTCAATTGTTCCAATATTGATATTGCTTATGATGAAATAAAAGCATTAAATTGAATGTGTGTGATTAATTGTAATGTAATTTGGATGAAAAACAAAGAAAAAAAATTTAGTGAAAAAAAAACATCATCAAGCCATTTCGGCAACAAGCATGGAATTATCATTATTATTGAGAGATTTCTTTTTCTTTTTCTTCGGTTTTTTCACTGCTACATCAACATCTTCGTCTGCTTCATCTGCTTGGATCATTTGTTCATGATTACCATTCATATCGGTGGTTATACTTTCATCCGCTGCTTCCATTTCAGCCAATTTTCGTTTCTTTTCTTTTTTCAATTTTTTCTTTCGTTTTTTAATATCAACAGCAGCTTCTTCAATAGCTTCATTCATAACATCAAGATTTTTCTTTGGAATAGCACCCGTATCTAAAAATTTTAATCTTTCTTCAACTTGTTCTTTCAGTTTTTGTCCGAAAACATCGGTTGCATCTTCAGCAAAACAATCAATTCTTGATGCTATTGAACATTTGTTGGCTAAAAATCTGGAAATTTTTCCCTTATTCTTGTTACCAGCACGTCCAATAAATGTTGAATGATAAATCAAACCATATTTGGGTGTATTTCCTTTTTTCTTCAATGCACGAAATAATGCTTTTTCAGCGCCCAATATCTGTACAGTTGATGATGGATATTTGGATAAATTTATTAAACTTCCAGCATGTGATATTAATCGTGCTCCAACCTAAAAGAAGAATTGATTAATATAATTTTGAAATGAAATTAAATCAAATTTACCATCTCTCCGATTAATGCGGATAAATTGGGTGCGATATTGTGCATACGAGAAACTAAATAATCCATTAATTGTCGACGATATTCAGCCAATGAAATAACTTTTGTTGTAAAATATTCAATATTGATAAGATCAATTTTGGAAATATCCATTCCCATTGATGATTTTGCTGCACTGATAATAGCCTGAGCTTTTGATGAATCTTGGATAAGTTCTTCTAAACGTTCTTGTATGGTAGCCTCATCTTCGGCTATAAATTCTTTACGATCGCCAATTAATTGTGCAACTTTTGCATACATATGATTATCGGTAATGATTTTTGCTAATTCTGGATAATGATATGAATACCATTCTTTCAAACGCATTGAAAAAGTATTAATATCTTTATCTAATTGATCAACTAGACCGATACTTTGTATGACCATATTATCAGCACGATTAATATTGAATTTTACTTTAGCACGTGAATAACTTCGTCCTAAACTACATTCAGCTGAACCAAGTGTGCTTAAATTTAATCCTTCAATCAATTCATGAAAATGATAACGAATTCCACGTAAAATTTCCGGAACAACATCAGTAAATTGACAATTATAGCCAAGTGTTTCTTGTATTGCTGCACCAATTTTTGCATCACCAACACCAACACTAATTTTAGATTTTTTAACATTTTGTGGTAGATTTGTTTCCAAAAATGCTTGTAAATCTTCATGTATAATACCTTCAGATATATTATTAATATTATCCAATGCATTTGTACCGGATTTGAATGGTAAAAATGCAACAAGATTGACAAATGTTTTAAATTTGACAGCATTCAATGTAGCTTTTTCAACTTGTGGTAAAAACATTGCTATCTCTTCAAATTCTTTAACCTTAAACAATGCATAGCCAGCAGCATGCTCATACAACACGTACAATTTATTCACCTTTAATCAAGGGAGAAAAAATTTTATAAATTGTCATTAATTAACATTTTTAACTTTTACCATTTTTTCCCGAAAAAATTCAAAATTGATTTAAACAAAAATAAAAAAAAAGTCGAGTCAAACACACGTGCTCAACATATCAACGCAGTACACTGCGAAGGAAACCATATTTTTGTGACATGAATGCCATCTGGTTGATGAACGGAATAAACATTGATTGATTCTCCATGCTGATCATCAACATTCGATCGAAATTATTTTGGTGAAGCCGAATCCCATCAAGAAAGAAAAGGAAAAAATGTCATCATTATTGCTTGGAAAATGTATTTCAACTGCAAAAAAGAATACAATTCGTTTATTGATACCACAATTAAAATTTGATACATTTCTTAATAAACATTTTCGTGAAAATGAAACGATACTGGCACATGATCAACAAAATATCTGTAATCCAGGTGATTGGATATTGTTACGAAAATTTGATGAAAAATTTCGTCTAGATATTGATTATAAAGTGGAAAAAATTGTCTATAAATCTGGTGATATTATCGATCCAATAACTGGTAAAAAAGCATTAGGCTATAATAATGTTGATGATTATGAACGATTATCGAAAATGTTTAAATAAAAATTCTTGTAATCTAGCAAAATGAAAATAATTTATTTCAAATAATGATAATTTAATCAAAATTTTTGTTGGTCAAAAAAAAAGAAAAGAATAAAGATATTCATTAGAAATGACAAAAAAATTAAACTTTTTATTTTAAAAAAATGAATGAATCGATGAATGTTTTGATGGTGGGTTAATGAATCAATATTTTTGATGATAATTATTATTATTTGGAATAAATTTTCAATGAACGATCCAAACTAACTGAACTGATAAATGATGAATTATGGCCAAAACGAACACTAGTAACAAGTCCAACATGATCTTCGAATGTTTTAATCAATTCCCATTGTTTACTAATATAGATACGAATATCAGTGCCAGCAATAGCTAAATAATTACCCGTTTGATCAAAATATAAATCCTTGATCTGATATCCTTCTTCCAGTGTAATTGTTTTGAAGTTTTTCAATTTACGTAAATCCCATAATTTTATTAATGAATCTTCAGCCGATGTTGCTAGATAATAACCATTTTCTGAGAATGACATTGCCGATATAGCACCAGTATGGCCAGGAAAATTGGCCAAATTTGAACGTTCTTTTAGATCCCAGATTTTTATCAATGAATCAGATGTTCCGGTACCAAAAATTAAACCATCCGGATGAAATTTTGCTGTTGTCAATGTATGATTAGCAGTTTGATCACCAACTTTAATCAAAACTTTTCCGGTATTAATATCGGAAAATGACCATTTTTCATCATTCGAAGTACTCAGTAAATAATCACCTGTAGCATGTAAACTAATCGATGTAACTGATGATTCATGTGCATTGATTACTTCAAGTGTACGTGATTCTGGAACCGACCAAACACGGATCTGTGAATCAGGTGATGATGTTATAACATTTGATTGATTTGAATGATAAATAACATTGTTAACTTTTTTGTTATGTCCTTTTAAAATGGTAACAATTTGTTCACTATTACGATCATAAATAACAGCATTATGATCATTACCACCAGTTATCATTTTATTTGAATCGGTTGGACAAATATCTAATGCCACAATACCAGCCATACTAACACTATGCAGACCAGTTTGTGATGATATTGTTTTAAATTGGCTTATTTCTTCTGGTTTCGTTAAATCGACTGGAATAGTTTTACAACGCATTTTACGTTCAGCTGTTAATACAGTTGCTTTATTGGTAATTTTTTCAATAACATCATTGCTCAAACCAGAATTGCTATTGTGATTATCATTAGCATCATCTTGATTATCATTCGTATTATTTGCCATTGATGATTGATTATTAACCGATGATGATGATGATTTTGGTTTCAATGTAGCTAATGCATCACGAGCAGCGGTTAATTCTTTTGTTAAACGAGCAATAACACGACAAGCAGCATCATGTTGATATAATGCATATGATAATTCTTGCCTGGTTGTTTGTAATTGTTGTCGTAAATTAAAACTATGCAATACAATAGCATCCCATTCATCTTGTAATGATTTTAAAAGTGCCGGTATACTGCTTGCTGATGGCAATTTTGGCTTCACAATTTGTGTAGTTTTTACTTCAATCAAATCATCGGCTGTCATTTCTTTACCCGAAATTGGATCGACTTTATTTTCATCCAAATATTTTAATATTAAACGTTTCTCAAATATAGCACCTGAAAATGGTGATATAACTGGTTCTTCAGGTAATTGATTACTTAATGCACAATGAAAAGCCATGATTAATTTTTGGAAAACACTTTTTGAAACAATTCAATTCAAACAAAAATAAAATATTGAATCATCGATGATGGACAAAAGCTTCATCAAAAACTCAATGAGCGTGTTTTCGGCACACAATACAAAATGGCATGCCACAAAGCCAGCCGCAAAAAAAACTGGAGTTGAATATAATTCATAAACGACGTTATTTTTGGAACTTTTTTTCGGGATGTGAAAGAAAAAATTTCGAATGTTTTCGAATGATGTTGAAATTATCTTTGAAAAATGTTTCAATTTTATTATTGATGTTATTTTGTTTATTTACATTCATCATATTCTGGAATTTGATTCAATTGAATAAAGAATCACAATGTCAATGTCAAAGACAATCAATCGAGCATCAAACCTTTGAAAATTTAAATTCAATTGATCGATTGAATGAAAATCATTTAGCAATATTGGTACCATTTCGTGAACGTTTTAATCAATTATTGCAATTCATACCACATATGAGTTCATTTTTAAATCGACAAAATATTAGTCATGAATTTTTTATTATAAATCAAGTGGATAAGTATCGTTTCAATCGTGGTGCATTAATTAATATTGGTTTTCAATTGGCAAAAAATTCCTGCACATATATTGCTATGCATGATGTTGATCTATTGCCATTGAATGATCAATTATCATATGAATTTCCTGCTAATGGTCCATTTCATATTTCATCACCATCCCTTCATCCAAAATATCATTATAAAACTTATGTTGGTGGAATATTGCTGATTTCAAATAAACATTTTAAATTAGTCAATGGATTTTCAACCAATTATTTTGGGTGGGGATTAGAAGGTTAGTTTCATCATTGTCATTATCAATGTTGCTAATGATCATTATCATCATTCATTCATTTATTTCAGATGATGAATTCTATGCTCGATTAAAAGAGGCAAATCTTAAGGTATATAATTAATGCTTTTAATTATGATTATCATCAACAATATTCATTGTTTTTTTTGTTTGTTTAAAGATTTATAGACCAGAAAATATCAACACAAATCAATCTAACACATTTAAGCATATTCATGATGAAAATGTTTATAAACGTGATACAGCCAAATTATTTAATCAAAAAGAGGTAAATGATCATAATCATTAATCATTGACCTTCGAAAAATTATTTATTTATATGTGTGGCAATCAAAAAAACAAAAACAATTTTTAATTCGATTTATCTTTTTTTCATTAATTTTTTCCCCTTAGATAACCCGAAAAAGAGATCGTCAAACTGGATTGAATACGACAAAATTTAATCTATTAAACATCAATAATATGACTATTGATAATATTTCGTTTCGTATATTTAATGTTGCCATTGATTGTAATCTTGATCGTACACCGTGGTGTTTAAAACAACCTTCATCATCATCGATCAGGTTTTCGAATAACAGAAAAAAACCAGAAAACAGAGAAACTAAACCACTAAACTGAACTGAACTGAACCAACACTAAGACATTGGCAACGGAAAAAATAAAATAGAAGAAAAAAAATCTCCGGAACAGGTCACATCGATGGTTGAATGAATGAATGAATGAATGAAAAAGAAAACATTACCATCATAATGACATAACACACACAATCGGCAATGTGAAAGCCATCATCATCATTGTTCAACAGAAAGAAAAAAATTATTATTTTATTTCCCGAACAAAATTTATTTTATGTGTTCTGCATTGAGATTGCACTCAATTCCATCACCATCACCATTGACTCATCATTAGCCTGTTATTGTTATTTGAATGAATGATTTCATCATTTATGTATGTTGCGTGTGTGTGGATACGACGTTTTTTTCTGTTTTTTTGTCATATCAAACCAAAACAATCAATTTTTGATGATAGCAGTCACCGTCTCTCTGTTCTCTTGGTTTGCTAATATTGCGTAAAATCGAAAATTAACATTTTCTATTTTCTTGCCTGTGTGTAAACCAAACATATCAATTTTGTTTTGGCCATCATTTAGTTAATTTGTGTTTTTCTAAATTGATATTTTTTTATAAATTATATAACCATCAGTTGAAATTTTTATCACCAAGGTGAAGAAGAATTTCACACATTTAAAGCAATAAATATTTGGTTGATTCAGAAGCAATTCTCAACAAAAACGAAAACAGCTCGAATTGGCTTCTGTGTGGCAATCATTTTCATGTGACCAATAATCACGAGATAAGATGAATGAAATTATCAAAAAGAAACTTATCAAATTTTAGACCATCAAAAAAAGTAAAACAAAAAATGAATGTTTTATTTTGGCCACTATTTTTGGCCATTATCCTTGACCATCATCAATCGACAAGAATTTCCTGTTTTGGTAAAAATTTATTTTTTCCATTTTTTTCGAATTTCTAATTGATTTTCTCTTTGAACTTTTTTTTAGATTTCGAATTTATAGAACCAAAAATTGAACAATTTAATAATAATGAACAATTAATAATTAAATTTACTGCCTTTAACAAAAATTTTACTATCGATCTCATAAGAAATCATTTTATTGCCGATAATTATCATGAATTACCACGTCAGGATAATTATGAAACAAAAGTAATTATTTTTTGCAAATTAAAAATGAAACTAAATTTTATTTTTTAAATTAGAAACATTGTCATTACAAAGGAAATGTTAATAATGGACAACAACAATCATCATCTTCCTTTGCTGCCATATCATTCTGTGATAATCATTTAAATGGAATTTTTATTTTGAATGATTTACAATATCATTTACAACAACATGAATCGACAAAAGTTAAAATATTTTTTGAGAATAATTCATTATCCACAATCAATTCATATCATCATTGTGGTGAGTTTTTTGTTGTTGTTGAAATTTGCTCTATTTGTATCGAAAATATGATCAACATGTAAATGTTTTTTTTTGTTGTAAAATTTATATATAGGTTTTGATGGTGATAATAATAACAACAATACAATTATATCAACAGACATCATTTCCTCTAAACGACGACGATCACGGAGAGCTTTACATGTTAAAAATACGAAATTATTTCAACAACGACGTTATGTTGAAATGGTTTTGGTCAACGATCTCACATTGGTTTGTTGCTATATAGAAGATGATAAATGATTATGATAATGGCAAAGCAATTTTCTTTTTATTTCTTATCTAAAATAGTATGAAAAATATAAAGGAAAATTGCCATTTTTATTCGAAAGAAATGTTCAGATTGCCAATTTTGTTAATGCATTGTATAATCAATTCAATATATCGATAATATTGGTTGGTGTTGTCGTATGGACCAAACAAAATGAAATTGAATTAAGTAGTAATAGTAGTGAAACATTGAATAATTTTCTTAAATATCGTCGTGATAAATTAATGAGCCAATTTCCAAATGATAATGCTCAATTAATAACAGCATCACCATTTGAACATGGTATCGTTGGAAAAGCCTTAAAACAGACTATGTGGTTCGTATTTTTTTTCTCTCAATAGAATCTCTTTATTCAAAATAATTCTTGTTGTTGTTGAAAATTTTAGTACTTATGAATATTCCGGTGGAGTTAATCATGATTATCATGAGGTAAGTTATTGATGATTATAGAAAACTTAAAAAATTGATTTATTGATTGCCCCATTTTTTAGAACATCACTTTTATTGCAACAACAATCGCTCATGAATTGGGTCATAATTTCGGTATGGAACATGATAATGATAGTTGTGATTGTGAAGCAACCAATTGTATAATGGGTCCATCATCATCATATCCACATCCTCGTCATTGGTCAAGTTGTTCAATTGCACAGTTGGAACAATCCCTTGAACATGGATTAGATTATTGTCTAATGAATAAGCCGACTAATATTTTCCGATCAAGTTGTGGTAATGGTATCATTGAGGATGGTGAAGATTGTGATTGTGGTTTGCGTGATTTTTGTACAAACAAATGTTGTAATGCTACTACCTGTAAATTAATGAACAATGCTAAATGTTCGGATGGTGTCTGTTGTGATAAATCAACATGCCAAATAATTGATCAGCATTCAAAATTTATTTGTCGTCATTCGAAATCAAAGTGTGACCAAGCCGAATTTTGTGATGGTCAAACAGAAAATTGTCCTGTTGATCGATTTGTTCCGGATGGTACTGTATGTGAAGAAGGATATGCATATTGTTTTCAAGGAAAATGTGAAACCAGAAAAAATCGTTGCCATTTATTATGGGGCAATGAAAGTCGAGTTTCTCATTATCGATGTTACCAGAATAATGCTAATGCTAATAGTAGTGGTAATTGTGGTTATGATAAAAAAACTAAAACATTTATTGGTTGTCGTAAAAAAGATGATATAATCTGTGGTCGATTACATTGTACTAATGGGGATAATAATCCTCAATTAACATTGAAATATGGACCCGAAGGTTCAACGGTTATATCGCAGAAATTCGAATCAATTCATGAAGTGAAAACCTGTTTTTCGGCTATGGTTGATCTTGGCTTGAATGAAGATGATGTTGGACTTGTTCCTAATGGTGCAAATTGTGGTCTCGATCGAATGTGTGTTCACCAATCATGTGTTTCAGTGAAAGAATATCAAAATTCACATTGTGATCGTCATCCAGATGATGATGAATGTCATCCGCCATCACAATCAGCAAACAAATTTTTAATATTCACCTATTTTATCATATCATTATTATCAATCATATTGTTGGTATGGTTGTTCTTCAAACATAAACCTATTCAAATTCCAAAAAATTGGTTTGGACAAAAATCATTTATCGCTAAAGATTATAATAATCGTCGACCAAAAAAGAATCCAATCAATCGAAACATATCAGTTCCGATTGAAACCGAATTATCCGTACGACCTGTTCGACCAGCACCCCCAATTCCAAAACCAAACATATCCAAAAATCTTCCAATGAATGGTATGATGGCCAATAATTCGATTCCGATATCTCGTGATACAGCAAATATCAAACAAAATCCTCAAATATCAAATCGAAATGAGATCATCAATAATTCAACAAATCAACTAACCCGACCAAAAAGATCTCCACCGAAAGCTCCCCCACCACCACCACCACCACCACCAACATCATCATCAAATAAAGTCAAAAATTTGGTTGCGACATTTGAAAATCATTAAATTTTAAACGATTTTGTTTTTTTATTAAATGTTTAACTCTAGTCTTAATATTAATAAAATGTTCAATTCAAGCTCTGATGGTATTCATTATTATTTACGACCAACTTTTTTCTTCTTTTTCTGTGTTGGACGTTGTTGTCTTGGTCCCAATGGTGATTGAACAGTCGGTTTAGGTGATGGTTTAATTTCGGGCCTATTTCGACAAACGTGAAGTATGTTATTATCAAAGTCATTATGATGATTATTATTCGAAATACTTACATATCACCAACAGCACCTTGTGTTCCTTTGCCAACACCTTTTTTATCTTTTTTCTTTCGATAATTTGAACGTTCATATTTGGGTAACCAACGTTCAGGGTCTGGTGGTGGTCCATTTGGATCATAATTTTTTGGTAAAATCTTTCGACGTTTTGTTTTCTTTCGTTTTTCCTTAGTCAAAGTTTTCGGTGTATCTTTTACTTTTTTCACATATTTAACACCTAATGACCAATTTTTATTCTCTAATTGGTCAATATCGACTGAATTTAAAATTTCTTCAATTGATGGCAATTCTTTTTGTAAACTAAATGATTGAAACAATTGAATTATTTATATTCAAATTTCAATTGAAAAAAAACAAACCTTTTTGCTTTTTGAACATCAAACAATGAATAAGCATTAATGAGCATGGAAATAATTTTTGGATTTTTTCCTTGTAATTTGACAATTTTTTCCAAATATCTGACTGATGCTTGAGGTTTGTTTTGATTCAGGTAAAATTTTGCCGCTTCATTATACAATGAAATTAAAATTGCCTTAGAGCTCTGTTTGAGAGAAAAAGAGTTAATTAATCAATAATTTTAAAAAGTTGTCATACCTTGTGCTTTTCATGCCAATCAATACAATGATCGAACAATTTTTCAGCCTCTTCAATTTTCATTGTTTTTTCATAAATTTGTAACAAAATCGAAACAATAGCCAATCTTGAAAATCGAAATTCACCTAGATTTTCCAAAACTTTTGCACAACCATCCAAATCATTTTGTTTAAGCAAAAGTTCGGTTAAAAATAATGCAGCTTCTAAATCAATCACCGTTGGATTTTTGCATGAAAGACAATAATTTTTCAATGTATCAATAGCTTTTGATTGATTTTTTTCTTTAATATACAGATACGCTTCGATCAAAACGGCATCAGCTTCATTATTCGGAAATTTGGAACGAAAAATTGGCAAATGTTTATGACATAAATCATATTGATGTGTATTGATCATAAACAAACAATAATTATAATGAATATTAACTTTTTGATTGGAACTCATTTTTGATTCAGCATTTTCACTTAATGCCATACGAATTTTTTTCTTCGAATCAAATAGATTTTGATCACGATGAATGGCAACAATATTATTCGAAATGACAGCAATCAATGCTGGATCGGATAATTTTTGTTTAAGAATTTCATTATAAGTTTTCAATGCTTGATCAGTTTTTCCCATACGTTGATTACAATAGGCAATCTGTGCATGTATAATAGCCAATTCGGATTGAATTTCTTCTTCAGTTGCACCATCATCTTCTAAAAATTTTTTACAAACCATCTCAGCATCCTGTAGTTTAGCAATTGCTTTTGTATACTGTTCAATAGCAACTAATGCACAGGCTTTATTATAGATAACTTCATAGGTAGAATTCGATATGCTAGCCAAATCATATTTAATATTTGAATTAATATTTTTCAATCCAACAATAACTGCAGCCAAATTCACCATACGTTCATCTTCATAATCATCATTGGAATTTTTAATCAAATCAACATATGATGAATAACAATCATCAAAATTTTCAATTCGATATAATGTTTGTGCTTTTAATTCATTCGCTCCTAAATCATCGGAAACATCTTTCCCATTCAAACATTTTAGTGATTCTTCAACATTATTCAAACGATATTGACAATATGCTTGTTCTAAGTGGAAATTTTTACGTATTTCTTCATTTTGACTTTCAATATATTTTAATGCCTCTTCAAATTCATTCAATTGAATTAGGCAAACAATTTTACAATGAATTGCTTTTGAATGATTTGGATCAACTTCCAAAACTAATAAGTTATAGTTTTTTCAAGAAATTATTTTACTTTCGATTCAATGATAAACAAAAAAAAACTTACTTTTATTAACTACCTTCAATGCACGATCATATTCACCGGTGTTTTCGAATTTTTTCAATTCGGAAAACAAATTCAAAACATTTACTTCGGTCACGGGCATTTTTTGGTTGTTGTTGTTTACTTGAAACTTATAATCACCATCCAATTAATTGGCCACGAGTTCAGCATAACATTTCCTGAAAGAATTTCTTTGAAAAAAGCGACATCTTTTGATTTTTTTTCAAAATATTTATTTTTTTCAAATATTTATTTATCAATATCAAATCTGTATCGATTCTAAAACATTATAATAACCAAATTGATTGGTTCGATGTAATTCATTCAATTGAATTGGTGGCCAATCAATTTCGCTGAAAAAATAATCACCATAATTGTTTAATATTTCAGTCGAATCAAAATATCTCATCATTGGTTTTCTACGTTTTTTATTAAAACCTCTACGTAAATATGATGAATTCATCAATGTTAAATGTAATTTAACTTGTTGTTGTTGTTGATCTGATTCATTGGCAAATTTATCACCACTGTATAGAAATTCATTCGTAGCCATAACATTAGCAATATGATTGGCTAAATTTTGTAAATTATCATTTTCAATTTTAGCATACAATACATTTGTTCGTCGAGGATTATCATTCATAATATCGATTGCTTTGATTTGTAATCGACGTTCAAAATTATTAACATTATTAAATTTTTCAATGTAATCCGAACATTGTTTTTTAAATATTTCGCGAGCATCGGTTAATCGTTTATCATCTTCTAATGAAAGACATGAAATTGTCATATGTAATTTTTTAGGATTTTGAAATAAACATTCATCAATATCGGAATTTTCATTCAATATTTTTTCCTTAAAATCCAGATATGCTTTTATAAAATCATCATGCAAAAATGGAATCGTTATCAGATGAGTGAAACGATTTCTAAGCTGTTGTGAAGCTTGTTTCACTAACATTGTTGCTTTATCAATTTCCGATTTTGGGCCACTAATTTTAAGCAGATATTCGTTTTCCGATTCATTCACGTCGAATGATACATCAACTTTTATCGGTCTGATTAATGAATAAAATCGTTTTCGAGCTCTATTTGATCTCCCGTAACGATCATAAAATTCTTTGCTAATGTTTTTGACTACAAATGAATCATCAGTGAATGTCTGCAGATTCGATTCATCATTTTCGTTGTTCACTAAAGAAAACAAAAATTCAAAAAAAGGAAAAGAACAAAAAATTCAAGAAAACGATATCTTACTGTTTTTTTTTTTTTTTTTTTTTTTTTTTTTTTTTAAAAAAAATTTTTTTTTTTTTTAAAA